TTCTATATCTAAAGCTCTATTGTTTACGTTTACGAGTATTACTCCACCATCTGGGCACCTGTTTTATTTTTCAGTGATTACAATATGGTGCAGTTACATAATTTCTTCAAAAACAACTATGATACAAATTGACAAAATAAAGACGTATGGATATATTGATTTATTATCAACATATCAGTGTTATACAGAATCGAAACTGTAACCACGTAAAATGAAACGTAAATATAATATATATCTACTGTAGATGCTGGAGGATTGCCCCGAGGCAGAAACTGAAGATAGAAAAAATACTGTTAAATAAAAAATGAACTGTTGAAATAAAAAATTATGTTAACAGGGATTTCGATGTTGTTCATCTGGAATAATAAATAATAATAATATAAGGCTTAGCGAACCCGAAGGTTCGATGCCGACACCACCAGTCACTTATTACACACCTCCCTCCACCGATCGCCGTCCAAACCCAGTCCCTTCAGATTGGCTTTAATGCAATCTTCCCACCTTCGCTTCGGTCTACCCCTCGGACGCTTACCATTCGGCACAGCAAATATTAACCTTTTAGGAATTCTCTCGTTACTAAGCCCAGCTGTTCATCTGGAAACTAGAGATATTTTATTTTATGAAGAGAAGGAGCTAGACGACACCGATTGGAGAATTGATGATGTAGATAACACTTAATAATATACTATACCATAGAAAGGGAGTCTTTTTATAATCAGAGGCCGGATTAAGATTAGTTAGTGATAATGGAGCCCGCAAAAAATGTACTGATGCTATTTTATTTATAAGTAAATGCATAAACCCATTTACGGATTTCCAACTTAATTATGTTATTTACAAATTTTCATAAGATAAATAATTAAATATTAATTAATAATAGCGCTAGATTAATGGAGATCGCGCAAACACTAACGGAAGCCGCAGGATCCTGAGGTACGGTGTAGAGCAGTGGTCTCCAGACAAACGGAGGTCGCAAACAACTCCAATCTGGCCCGCCAAAGTTTCTTTGATTACATTCCAAAACTTTAAAAGCTATTTAAAAAATATAAACTTCGGTAGTGAGGAAGCAACAAATGTTGAAAATCGGTAGGAAAGTAACGTAAATGGACACACCAGATTTATCATTTAAATAACTTGTTACATTGTATAGAATGTCTTTACTCTACAACTCTTCCATTTCAAGGTGAGATCCTATCTCTTCCTTTCTTGACAATGCCTTTAATGTGCCTAGTCCTGTCATAAATATTACAAGGAAATATATAAAGATTTCAACAAAAAAAAAATTTTTTCAAAAGCTTTATCAGAAAATAAAATGTATATCTATAGAGAGTAAAAAAAAAAAGAAGATATTACACAAAATGTCCCCTTTTTCTCTTGACACACTCATATCAGTATGCCGTTCTGGAGGAAGCCTTTACTGCTACAATATTCCAAGCTTAACGACACTCTATTGTTACAGAGGGTCATGCCCTAGAGCGAACTTGCTAACAAGGACGAAAGAACCGATATACGGCAAGCTAATTGTTGGGGAAGGGACGATCTAGAAAAATTGAGGCTGGCCGAGATAGAGGAAGGACAAGAGCGGTAATGGCGAACTTGCCCAGCAAGGACGTACCTCTTTTGTTACACCATACTAATTACAATTAACATCATCGCTCTTTTCACTTGGCTATTAACCTTCTTTAGGCTTTAACTATAGTCATTTCCTAAAGAAACAAAAAAACTTCATTTTACAGCACATCAATATTCTATATCCCAAGATAAAGTAATAAGTAAGTGGTTCTTGAGTCATCGGCCATTAAATGATAGATTTAATCATTATATAAGCCTTTCAGTTGACAGGCTAACTCAGTTTTCTATATTTTGGAGTAGAGATACTTTAGTGATATTTCTAATTGGGAAATTTATAATATCTGCACAGACAGTGAATAAGTTTATTCTGGAGTATGTGATTGCAGTGTTGAAATATAGAACTGAGAAAGGTATAAATTTTGCCACTAGAAATATCACTAAAATTAACAATCACAAATTTTGAAATTGGATTTAGTCATTCTGTCATCTGAAAAGCTCATATAAAAAAACTACATTTGTTACTGGGAACATAGCTATGTTATTTATTAAATTATTGCTTAATATAACAATCTGTCACATGGACATTGGTTATAGAGACGTAAGATAACATTCACAGAATATGTAAAAAAAAACTAAACTGAAGGGGAAAAAAACTAAACAATATTAAAAAAGTATGTACAATAAATAAAATAAAATAACTTAAAGATAAATAAATGATTAAAAAAACACATTCATGCCTATATATAATCATGCGAGGGAACTTCGAGGCAGGCTTGTCCCTTCAACTAGGGAGGGAAAAACAGAACACATAAAAGAGATCCCTGCGTTACTCTCTCAACCGCTTCACTGTTACAAAAGCCAATTGAGATTGATCGAGAGCTCGTCAGCCACATACGCCCATGTCTTGAATGGAGAATCTGGCTATTGCCAGATATTATATATGGTATATATAAATTTCAAAAGGTCGCGGGGCTACTGCCGTTTTAACCTTCTTGGAGGATTACAGGGATGAGTGGTTATAAACATAGCTATATAGAGTTCATATTAAAACAGATTATGTTTTAATGTTAGGATTTATTTTAATACTAATAGTTTAACTTTTGAGTTCGTTAGAAAATATTCATATTCACTCTGTAAGTTAATTAATTAAAATCATTAATTTATCCCTCCATTCAGCAATTTGACGCGTTATCTAAAAAAAAAAATTACGGCGTTTTCCTGAAACCACACGATAGAAGTGAAAACAAAAACAAGTCGGGATTAATAATATGGTTTTAGTTTTATTTTATTTTATTTTATTTTCTTATAATCTTGTTGTTCTTTTATTGTATATATGGTATGATTGTACTTCATTCATCATAAATACTCAATGCCCTTAATTGAGGCAAAATGTATTTTTTTTCTCAATAAAAATTGTTCATAAAAAAAAAAAAAATTAAATATTTTTTGTTCAATATTCACGAAGTAATAACATTTACAATATACACAATTATAATTGTGTATAAACTATTTAAAGTTCAATATTCGCGAGGTAATAACATGTACTAATATATTCAATTATAATTCTCTATAAATTGGTATGGTAAACTTGGCTCTGACTGATCCTCATTTGTATCATACTCTAAGCCAATCTTGCTAATAGAAAATATTTATTGTATAAAATAATAATAATAATTTCTTTATTGAAAAACTTTAGAAATGCCTTTGGCATATATTGTAAATGTGATCATCATGCTCTGCAAGATTAACATGAATGCTTGATTGGAGAAACCTTCCAGCGAAGGCACTCCTAACGTAACTGTTGTTAATGTAGCAGTGTCGGATTCTGTGGTAGTCTGTCTGTTATTAATGTCTGTACAAGAGGATAAGGATGTCCAATAAGTGAGTCGTGGACATTTTTGTAAAGCTTCTTAATTACGTCAGTCACTTATGGTATTTTTAGGTCTTTATGTAGCGATTTATTGGTTACGTGGAAAGGACAATGAGTAATATACCGGAGAGATTTAGATTGGAAGATTTGAACAGTATGTAAGTGAGTTTTTTTGCATGAACTCCACACCTGAGTAGCATACGTCCATATTGGTCTGAGTAGCATGTTGTATATAATCATTTTGTTAGAAAGTGATAGTTTGTTTTTATAGTGTAGCTTCGTCTTAGTAGTGACAGTCGATGGTTCAATCTCGTTTTCAGTGTAGTCACTTACGATTTCCAGATCTATCCATTGTGAGCTCTAAATATTTTGCCTCTGTATGATTTGCCAAAGAGATGTTGTAAAGTGTCAGTGGATGACAATTCGAACGTCTAAGTGTAAATGTAACCTGATTAGATTTATTTTTGTTAATTTAAGTGGGCCATTTATCAAGCCAGTCTTATAGAAGATTTAAATGAATCTGTACTTTTTGAGATGCTGCGATCGGATTAGAATCCGTCGAGAGTATGACAGTATCGTCTGCGTAAGTTGCGAGTAATGTGTCTGGCGTCTGTGGAATGTCAGCAGTGCAAAAAGAGTACAGAACTGGACCTAAAATACTGCCCTGCGGTACTCCTGCACCGATTCAGCAATAGTTAGAGTGTTTACCATCCTGGTTGACAACGAAAAATCTGTCCTCAAGGTACGATCTGATGATTAAATAGTAAGCATGCGGTATGATCGATTTAATTTTACAAAGAAGACCATCATGCCACACTTTATCAAAGCCCTGTGTGACGCCTAAGAAAGCTGCTGTGCAAAGTTCCTTCTTTTCCAATGCCACAGCAATTGTATCAATCACGCTATGACATTGTTGTATGGTAGAGTGTGCAGTCGTATAAAATGAGACGTCAATTAGTATGAGAATATTATGCAGTATTGGTACTTTTTTAAAACAAAATTTCTGTAAGAGAATCAGTAATTTGTCGAAACACTATCGAGTACAACAGAAAGTCAAAAAGAGACACTTAATTTCTTTCTTATATTTTTTCCGCTAGTTAAATAAATATTGACTTCTGCAAAGTAGTTTAATCATCATGGCTCATTGCAAAGAGAATGGCTCGCTTACAGTATGCAGGCTCGAATTTTAGTATTTGAGATATTTTAATTCAAATGTTCAATAATTTTCGTTAACATTTGGTTTTTGACATTATATTTTTCCTTTTTTGTCTCTCTAATACTACCTCGCGTCAAGATAAAATTTTGAGAAACAATATTGTTTTACTACTTGTTCTACTATCAATCTGGAGACCGAAAAATTTAAACTCGTGCGTTGTTGAGAGCACCTTAACACGGACCAATTTTTTTGGTCACCCACAGGTGCCAGTGTAATGTTCTCTGATGTTAAAACGTTATCAAAGCTACGGTCTGTTTATTTAATTAGTGTTTTATGCCATAAAAACCAAGATCAATAATTGTTTTTTTAATTTAGTATGGTAAGATGATGTTCACTTTGCAGGAGATGGGAGCCGGCAAGCAGTGGAAGACCAGCACGAACCCGGGCCGGGTACGGGAGGTACAGGATGGTCCCAGGAGGTGCAGAGCTAACCTGCCAGTTTCCCTCAAATTACAACATAATTTCGGTATGTGATCTGGTGTAACATGTGAGCCGATTGTTGGACACTGCCAAATCTTAATTAATTATAATTATATAAATATTTCCTTCATTTAATTTTCATCTTTATATAAAAGTATGTTACATTTATATGAGATTTACTTTTAATTATTCTTTCAGTGAGAAAAGGTTGTTTTGTTTGTAAAGTTCCAGCGAAATAGAAAGAAAATATATATGAAGAATTTATTTATAAACATATATAACTGTTTTGAGGCATTAGTCTCTGGGCCAGACACCCCTACCGTGTACCCCTCTCCCACCACATCTCTATAAATTGAATATAGTTGTGTTTCTTGTAATTATTTATTAAAAAAAAAAACCAATGTTCCCACAAAAAAAAGCCAATGAACTGCCCCAAAATGGCGGCTAAAAAAGGCGGACTTACGACTTTGCCTTTAGTTAGTTTTTTGGTCACTGAGAAACAGCATTTGGCTTAATATAGTCATAGTTGGTCTTTTATTTAAGCTGGATAGCCAGAGAATAATAAAACATGAAAATATAATTAAAAAACAATTGGTTTAGGTAATTAAAAACACCAGTAAAGTCAACTTAAAAAAAAAAATCAAGTGTCGTTTGTAAATAAACGGCCAACAACAACGCAAAACGTGCTGAAATAAAACATCTGGAAAATATATTGCTATTTCTAAAATACTGATTACTTTTTAAAATATTTGAAACAGTTCCGTAGACTCTTTGGACTTACGGACTAGAACTGTCGGGATCAGCAAAATTTTCTAACATCAAGCGCATCCAATCCTTCCAGTCAAAAGTCCTGCGAACAATAGTCGATGCTCCTTTCTATATAACCTACAAAACCCTACATCATGACCTCAACAGTCCATTAGTCCTAGACCTTATCCCAGAAAAATTCTCAAAATTTCACCAGAACCTTACGTACCACCCAAATCCTCTTGCACAATACCTATCAAACACCTACCATCCCTATCGTCCTCCAAGAAGGTTGAAATGGCAGTGGCTTCGGGAACTTTTGTAGATTGTATATATTGGAGTTCTGGCAATGGCCAGATTCTTCACTCAAGACATGAGTGTATGTGGCTGAAGTGCTCTCGATCAATCTCCGCTGGCTTTAGTACCAGTGACGCGGTTGAGAGAGTAGCGCAGGGTTCTCCTGGAGATCCCTTGCCTGATTGTATATAGGGGTGCATGTGTTTTTTTTTGCTTATTTTTTAGGTTATTTATTTTATTACCTATTGTATATACTTTTGATAATTATTTTGTTTCTATTTATTTTATTTTTTTTGTACATATAGTGCGAATGTCATCCTACCTCACTATAACCAATGTCCAAGAGACAGATTGTTGTAATACTCAATAAAAAAAAAAAAAAAAAGTTCCGTAAAAAATGAACTTAAGTGGTAGAAAAGCGGTGCTGGCGTAGGCCTCTACCGCACCGATGTACGAGTGTTTGCACTGACTAATGGCAACCTCTTATTTGATACTTTTATCATATTCCCGTGCGCAACCCACTCCAGGAGTTTGGCACATTCCTCCTGAGTCTCCCCGTGCATCCCATTTTATTTTGTATGAAAGGAATCAATTTATTGTTCTACCGACATGCTGATTAACTATTGCAGAACATCATCTGGGAGCGGGCCGACATGGGCGCCCTGAAGAGCCTGGACGAGCTGTACAAGAGGGCCGGCGAAGAGCAGGAGTACCGAGTGGTGTCCTGGAGGAGCGGCTCGCGGCTCCAGCTGAGGGCCCCCGGCTTGCTGGCCCGCGGCCTCTACAGGTGCATCGCCACCGCCGCCGGCCCCGACCACCGCCGCCACCTCACCCTCTTCCAGGACGTCCCGTTCTATCCCGCCGTAGGGTAAGTCCATCCAGTAGGCCTATCATCTGGTCACTAAGTATAGCCACTTACGAAACGTCTATAATGCATTGGAGGAGAAAGGGAGGGAGGGAGAGGGCAAACGCCATTCATAAAGGAGTAGTTCAATAATCAGTTTATTACCTCTATTATAATATAATATGACATATTATTTTTCAAAGGTGTTTTTTGTTGGCTGGCATACCTTCTTTAATTCTCCATCATATCCAATGATGGAGTTATAATTTGAAAATTATCTTCTTCAGATGGGAAAAATAAGCAAATCCTCAATAAATAAAACACATTTTATTTATAAATTGTTGATATTATTTATTATGATATTTACAACTGTATAAAAAAATAAATCTAGTCAATTTGTACAATAGGTATATTATTTATAAATAACTCAAAAACTATACTTAATGGTTCCATATAGTACATATAGTTTATAAACTTTCTAAATTTCTTATAAAATCATTTAAATAAATCCATTTTTAGCAAAGATTTTGTACACATGTTTTGGTTTAGTGGATCGAGCTGTTATAATTGACCGAGGATAAAAAAAGTAATTCCTATCTGTTATAATAATGCAATGAAATTGCTTATTTCCATATTATATTGCATATAATTTAATGACCAATACACAATGCAAATTTTTCATTCATCAGCCAACCAATAATATAATTATTATTTATACGGTTTATTGAACTTTATTTTTTAAAGTAAATATCTGCGAAATATTGAAAGGGCTGGCCCCTTTCTTCAAATATTCATATACAAGAGATTCTATGAATGCTTTGGTGATGAAGAACACATTTAATAGAATAGTTTACTTTATTTGTCTAAGGAAATTCCTGTACAAACATATATAATGGTATAATTGACAATGTTAGATCTTGATTCTAGTACTGCGTTTAAACATAACATTAACAACGTCCACAGCATAAAGTATGTCCAATATAATAACAAATTAGTTAAGGATATATATAAGTATATACTGATTCTATAAGTATATATATATATATATATATATATATATATATATAATCAGTAAAATTTTGTTTTCCAATAATATATATATATTTTTTAAATGTTCTAGAGGTATAAAACAAATAACAATATAAATAAGCATTAATATAAGTTTATATGATTAACTATACCACTTAACAGTTAATATCATGTATGAAAGAGACATAAAAAAAATACATTCGATGAAATAAAATAATGACAAACCGCCGAATTATATTACAATGATACATTTTAAAAATTTTATGAAGCGGTGCATCTTGAAAATTTTTCCTGAAACCGAAAAGTTTAATAAATTTGTATATTTACTGGTGTTGCCCAAAATCGGTCTTGGTCTTGCACTTTGCAAGACCAAGACAAAGGCCGCCTAACTGTTGCAAGACCAAGACCAGGACTGGTAAAAAAGTCGATGTTTTTAATAAAAAATTAAGGCAAAATAGTTACTAATAATCTTAGTTACTATATGTAAATAATTGGTATAACCAATATAGTTTTGCATTTAATTCCTCTAATTTTTCATTCAGGCTTAGTTAGGTTTCTCCTATCTACAAAATACACTACTGTAAGACTGTTGCGAGACTCCTGTGCAAGACCAAGACCATGACCAAACTGAGTTTGCAAGACCAGGACTCGTCTGGGTCTCGGATTTGGGCAACACTAATATTTACTGACTTTTGGTCTAATATAAAAAAACTTTAAAAATGCCACCGAATCTAAAAGATATGACTAGAAAATTAATATTTGTTTGTATGAAAGATTATTTAAATGTATTTACATATTAGTCAGCATTTACATACTTAGAAATTTTAAGTAGACATGTTCGCTTCTTTTTTTTCTTAGTGGAAACTCGTAGATTATTGATAAGAAGAATTTAATTTATTTTATTTTTTTCTTAGAAGGTATATTTATACTGTTTCACCATTGTATATAGTTTTAGGTGTTTTGTAGACAGTTGTGTTTTGTTAATAGTTGTATTTGTTTTGTATATAGATAATGGTTTATTTATTTTTTGTTATATTATTTTTATTTTTTTATTGTTTCAAACCTTAGGTTTGGTGTAATATTTAATTTTTGTACGAGCTTGTTATTCTAAAGGAACTTTGTCTCAGAATAAAGATATTTTCTTTCTTTCTATCTACATAAATATACAGCAGCGATCATAAAAAATGCATGCCATAATTCTTTTGATTCTTATGTTGATAACGCTGATTCCATTGAATGTTTTTGTTTATCTCAAACTGTCCCCCTTTTGCCTTGACACAGGTATTTAATCTCCGTGGCCATTCATAAATAGCAGCACGCAGCACTTTTGTGGAAAGCGCCCAACTGCTCGGACCAGAGGTTGTTTGAGGCTTTCCAAGTCGGGATGTGCTTTGTGGTATTCCATCGTCTCCAGTTCGGAACAAGCCGATAACCTAGTGGGTTGAGATCAGGGCTTCCTGAGGGCAAATTCGAGGCAGAGATGAACTATGGAATGTTCTTTTGCAGCCACTGCTGAGTTGACTTGGCCTTCTGAGCTGGAGCTGAATCCTGCTGGAAGACCCAATGACTTCCAGCAAACAAAGAATCATTTAGAGGGTTGATAACAGGTTCCAAAATATCGTTCTGATAGTTCCACTGTTTTGACTCCTTTTTCTCAAAAATGGAGCTTTGTGATACCATCAAAGCAAACTTCCCCCCAAAAAAAACCATCACTGAGGAAGGATGATGATCTCTGTCCACTCTTCCTCGGCTTCTTTAAAGCTGTGTACGTACACACGATCATTTTGGCAATTAAATTTTTCTTTAACTGTAAAAATTGTCTCATCACTAAACAAAATCTTTCGATGAAGACCATTGGTGTGACGGTGTAAAGAAGGCACACTTTGCATCTATCCACTCTATTTTTTTTTAGGGTAGTTGTTAGCCTTTGTCCTGTCATTCTTCGAAATGCAACCCCCATCCTAAGGTCACTTTTTATTATGCGAGACATTGATCCCATTTTCCGAGACATGATTTGTTGTTTTCGTGTGAGATTTCTTCTGAATCGAGCAGCCACTGCTCTCACTGCATTTGCCATTCTCACAGGCGGGTCTGTCACATACAGGTAGGGTCGCATTATATCTATTTATAGTGCGGTACATGAACATAGGGCTGATACTGAAAGGTTTTTAAGTGTTGAAAATCTCTGACCTTTGTGTAAGGCGATCACGGCTATTCGGTTTTCTTTATTACCCCATTCCATGTTAACTGAGCGAAAGAAAAATACAAACTAATTAGGATTATTATCCTGACAAGTAAAGAAAATAACCTGATAGAGGTAAGGATTATCTAAATATAACCCAAGAATGTAAATAAGACTTCCTAAAGATCTTGTGGTTAAAATGAACAAATATATTTTGGCCAAGTTTATAATAAAAATCAAAATAATTGTTTTTAAATTATATTAAATCATTCAATTAAACCCATCTAATAGACATTTACATGTTTGTAGTATGGCTGATAATGGCAGATAAATTATAGCTTAATGACTCGCAGACATCTTAGACCAGTCAGTAGCCTGGTCATGAAAAGGGGGGTCTAAGTTGCATCGAATGGGGGTAAAAGGATTCTTCCTTTTTTCTTGTATGGGATGTGACTGAGATACAAAATCCAATTTTTTGACATCGGTGCCTCCTCCCCTCTCCCCCTTCCCCCGGATCACTTCTGAATATTCCAAAAACTGCTATATTTTTGTACTTTTTACGTTTTTCTTCCATTTTATTCATGTGTAACACGTTTTCAACAAAAACCATTCTATACTTTTTTAAATTTATTAAATATGCTACAATTTAAGATGCTCAGTAAATTAAATAGTTTACGAGATACAGTTTTTCAAAGTTTAGAATGTTTGGTCATATGCAATTGTCTTTTGCACTAAATAACCTGTCTTATATGATTCAGTGAAGTAAATTTTCATTCATTTTAACATTTTTATGAACGGGTGATGGAGAGGGAGAAGTTAGGTGGGACAGGAAGAAATCATTTTTCACAACCAGAAGACTGAAATCGAAATAAAAAAATATTTAACAAACATTTATATTAAGTGCATAAAAATATTTTAAATGGAGAGAATAATATCTTTGCAACCTGAAAATGTCAAGTTAATTTTTATGTTTATGTCTTCAATAACCTGCCTTTAAGAGGTAGTGAAGTAAACATTTATTTAATTTATTATTTTGAAGGAGTAGGGCACATGGATATAGGAATAGCTTTAAACAATAAGAAATAGAAACCCTATGTTATACGTTTACCTCTATGAAGAAATATGTAGTAGATAGATGAAGAGAATAGCACTATAATTATGCCATTTGTGAGAACCGAAATATTTTAAATATTAATCAATGATTTAGAAATAAGAATGTTTTCTGTAGATGTTTTAACTCAAGACATTTTTTGTTATTGTTGGCCGTTTAATTACAAATGACGCATGGTTTTCAACTTTAATTTGAACAAGTAGAAAAAATGGACGTTAATAGTTTTTTTTATTGCCAAAACAAATTATTTTTTTTTTAACGTTTTATTATTTTCTGACTACCTCCAGCTTTAACAAAAGGCCCATTATGACGAAATTAAGCTCTGTTGAATCTCAGTGACCGAAAAACTAACTCAAGTCAAGGTCGTCAATCCGCCATGTTTGGACGAAATTTTGGAAGAGTGCGGCCACTTTTTTGTGGAAACATTGGCTTTATTGTTTGCATATAGTTACAGGAAACACAACGATATGCAATTTATAGTGATGTGGGAGGAGAGCAAACGGGAGGGAGGTCTGGCCGACGGACTACTCCCTCCAACCAAACCTTTCCCTCCCTCAAGATATTAAAATGAGTCAATATTTACTTCACTGACTCATATCTGACAGATTATTTTTGATAAAAGACAACTGCATATGATCAAACATGAAAAATAATTTAAATGAAAAAAAAATTATCCATACTTTGAAAACCAGTATTTTGTAAACTATTTGATTTACGGAGTCTGTTGTGGTCTTAAATTGAAGAAAATTTAGTCTAGTTTAAACATGTATGGAATGCTTTTGGTCGAAAACGTGCTAGTTCATGGATAAAATGGGGAAAAACCGTATAAAGTGCGAAAATATAGCATTTTTTGGGACATTCAAAAGTGATCCTGGGGGGAAGGGGCGCTGAGGTCGAAAACTTTGATTTTGTATCTCAGTCATATCCCATATAAGAACATAAAGAAACCTTGACTAGCATACAATGTAACTTATGATATACAAGGTTATTGGGCTATATTATACTTAGAAATATAATCTCGATAATGAGCCAATTAATCAGAATAATAATATAGTATTTTGTTTAAAAAAGTCAGTAAAGCAAAATAATTATTTTGAACTAATTATTATTTTCATTTCAGGTCTGGTTGGCGATCAGGTCACGTAAACGGACGTTGTTGTAGGAGCCTCAGTTATGACGATTTCAGTCACCAGTCAGCATATGTGTTGGAGTCATTGCTATATTATGACTGACCAAAAAGAATACATTGTTGAATGTATATCTCGAAAGCAGATCCTAAGTCCTTTAAACATTTTTATTTTAATGTAAATAGCTGTAAATACATACATTCGTCCTTAGTTTTCTTTTAATTTTTTGAATAGGTTTGGTTGTACCTCTAGAACAATCCCCCTTATACCAGACAATGCGAGGTAGATGGTAAAGAAAAAAAAAAACTTTTATCTATTACTAGGAAAGAAGTAATAAACATCGCCAAAGGAGACGGAACATGAAGAAAAATCATCTAAGTCGTAGAAGAAACCATTGAATTCAATCCTATCTCTCATATAATACATACAGCAAACAAATATCTAAAAGGGACACACTTATCCAAACCTCCATTGATTTATCAATCCAAAGACACTCTCATAGAGAACCACCTATTTAGGCATTCGTGTTTCTCATTGTTTATCCAATGCCTAAACGTACCTGTATGATCCGATTAAACCAGGTAGGACGATAAACCGTCATCCAGCATACCACCAACCTATTGTAGCCAGAGTGAGAAGGCCAAAATTCAATTTGTGATTCCGCCAAAAACTACATTTATCAATTTATCCTACAATTATTAATAAAATCCAACTCAAAATCGAACCGGTCCTGCTTTTGACTCGAAGTGTGCTATGCCTTTGTTTTTGTGTTACTAAATCTAATAACCGTCATAGCAATTTATAACTATTCATTTTTAAAGATGTTTCAATAATAACTAGGTAAATAGTTTATTTCAAATCTACATAGTCTAATAGTAATTTCGTTCATTGGTTCCTTCACAGCTTATACATTGCACTATAACGATTCATTCGTTTAATACATACAACTAAATTGCCTCGTCCGGTTCAGTTTTGTGTCGAGCCCTTTCTCATTCCTTTTTTAGTTCTGTTATTTATTTACTTGTCTGATCTGTCGTATATAGAAAGAGAAAGTGAAATCATGCCAATATTTTAATTCAATATAGTACTTACACATTTAGGCATTCATGTTAATCATTGTTTGTTCAATGCCTGAATGTACTTTTATAATCCGCAAGAAAATTTGTAATAAAAAAAACTCCATTTCTTCTGAAAATTGACCAACTCCTTATAATATTAAAAAATCTGCTTATATAATTAATAATATATGTGGCAAGAAAGAGACAAGCAGCAATATTGAAAAAAATGAGTTATTTGTACGAAATTAGTCATTTCTCATGTTCCACAATTTAAGTGTATGTTTTTGTACATACCAATATATAGAAGAACTGTGTAACAAATCGTGTTATTACTCAAAAGAAATTTTGAATATTTTTAATAAGGAACGTAACAATCCAAATCCAAAAATGACGGACCGTTTATACTAGGAGAAAATTATTTTACTAAAATAAATTGCTACAACGATAATTGCTATAATTCTTCCTCAAATATTGATAATCCTGTTGAAGATAAACACAGCTAATCTTTAAACCATGCATTATTGTTTACAAAACTCAATAAAGAATAATTCGTGGCTTGTCATACTATTGCTCCAAAAGTTGTACGAATCATTAGCAGGAAAACTTTTTTTAAACTTATTTATTGAGAAATATTACAATCTACCACAAAATAAGGACATTTGTAATAGTGTTCAGAGAGCACATTTACATACTATTCATAATAAATAAAAATAAATAATACAGAAAAATAATAATACTATAAATAAATTTATATAAACAAAATAACTATAATCTAAAAACAACTTAAACACGAGCTAACTTTTATACAGAATCCATTCACTCAGAACTCCGGGACCAACCTTTCTCCTCAGTCATGGAAGTAAAATCAGGACTCTAAGAGATCCCAGCGCATCTCACTTAGCCGCATTACAGGTATAGGCTGTATGGATATACTGTCCTATAAGGACTAGTAGAGGCTGAGCATATGCGCAATAATCACACATATATAATCACTCAAGACTTGAGTGTTGAGAATCTGGTCACTGCCAAAACTCCAAAACATGCTTATTCACATAAGTTCTCTGGCCACTGCCGCTACAACCTTCGAGGAAGATTGTAGGGATAGTTGAAGCTTGATAGGGATTGTACAATGGGATATGGATGATATGTAAGGTTCTGATGAAGTTTTGAGAATTTTTTAGGAATATGACCTAGGACAAATGGGATATGGGATATCGCCGAAGTGGTTGGGAAATCTGGTGAGGGTTAGGTATTTTGTTAAGTAATTTTAATGAGAATTGTTACAATATGAGAGGGAGGTAGGAAGTAGTTAAAGGATTCAGATCTATAGAAGGCTCGTTTTAGTTTTTTGCAGCAGAATGTCTGATACATTGCCACAGTGATCTGGTACATCGTTTCACTCGCATTAGGTCAAGGAGGTAGTAAGGTAAATTGTTATAGGAGGAATTCTTGGGAAGGAGGCAGTCCTAGCAGCTTGTTGAATTGAAGTACTAAAGGAATTGACGACATAATCAAGATCATTGGGATCGCTTTGGTTTCTGCTAGTTATTTCACAATTTTTCTGTTGGTTTCAGCTGTAACTGGTAATATCTTAGTGTCCTTTGTTCCAGAAAAGCCTCACCATTCGATAGACTCAAGGAACCAGTTAGAGGAGGAACTGGAAGATGAAGATATTCCACCTGAAATAGAGGAGATAATTGAGATTATCTTGGACTTTAGGAATAACAAGATACCTGGAGGAGATGGTATGCATGCGGAAATGTTTAAGAATGCAGGAGAGGACATCTGAGAGGATGTGTACCAGATTATTTTTGATGTTTGAACTTTAGTATGTCTAATATACAAAAAGGGGAGTCGGACACAATGTAGAAATTATCATGAAATATTACTACTTGGAACATTATACAAAGTGTTCTCTATAGCGATCAGCAGGAGATTAGTAAAATGGTCTGAGAAGGTAGTAGGAAAATACCAATTTGGTTTTAGACCGGGTCGGTCTACCACTCATCATATATTCTCAGTAAGCCAAAAGCTGGAGAAATTAAATGACTGTAATGTCCACCATGTATTCATCGATTTTAAACAAGCCTATGATACTATTGACAGGGAGAATATGTACAAATGACTGCGTTCTTCAGGAATCCCCAGAAAACTTATTAGGCTTATTCGCATGACTCTACAGAAAACATTCTGTAAGGTCAAGATCGGACGGAGATACTCTTAATATTTTAAGGTAGAAAAAGAATTATGATAAGGTAACCCAATGTCAGTTTTGCTCAATCTTCAATCTTGTATTGGAATCCGCCATTCATAAAATAAGAAAAAATCCGGCTGGTACCACTTTCAATCGCCTGACACATTTGGCTTTTGCGGATGATGTAATCTCAGCAACAACACTTCAAACTTTATCAGGTGACTGGAGGAGCTCCTGAGGACTTCAAGGGTACTTGGACTTGATATTAATGTCCAGACGACAATGTATATAAAAAATATCGAAATTGATCCGTTATTACCAATGATATATTTCTAGGTAATAAATTATTACCTAGAAAAGAGGTATTCTATTTTCGAAACCTGTTTTATGTACCCAAGCGCAAGTTATTGTAATTTTCGATGGGTGGTTTTAAACGGGTCTTTACTTTGTAGAGCCCTGTGATTCCGAAAAACACTTTTCCAGCCAATGGTTTATGTGTGTATTTTGGCCACGATTATCTCTTGAACGCGTGAACTGTAGCGACAAAACGGCTCTAACGACTTGAATGAACCTCGTCTTTAAAACGTATTTTATTATTATATTTGGAAAATGAAATTAACTATTACCTACTCAAGATTTCCTACAGTCAACGGCTATTGTAATCAAAACCTTCTCCTTTCCAGTCACCCTTGCATCAGCATATTGCCCTCCTAACAGATCCATATCCAAAGTCCAGTTCAGTTCTCTCCTCAACTCCTTAGGTCATCATTTCATCCTGGGTGCAGACTTAAATTAAATGCAGTTTGGGGTTCAAGAACCACGAATTCTCGTGGCAGAACATTTCTGTCTGCGCTCAATACCCAACGTTTCAGTCTCCTTCCACCCAACTCACCAACCTACAGGCCCACTGATCCTAACCGCAATCCTTGATTTTTCATCCTCAGTGGTTTAGGTCCCCTCAATCATTCCCTTACCCGTCTTGATGAACTTTCCTCAGATCATAGTCCATTAATACTTCAATTATCAATGGCTCCTATTCCTAAACCCCCTTCACCGTCCTTCATCAGAGACCCAGTTAACTGGAAACTCTTTCATCAAATCCTTTCCGATAAAATTGACCTCAGAACAATCCTGAAAAGCCCAGAAGACCTCGATAATGCCGTAAATTCCTTTACCACTACTATTCAGCAAGCAATCTGGACTGCTTCCTCTCCAAATTTCTCCTCGAAAATTCCTAAGAAAAATAATTTACCTCAGCACCTGCTAGATCTAATTCATATCAAACGCCGTGCCCGAATATTATGGCAACGTTCAAGACACCCCACCGATCGGCGCTATTATAATATAATTATTTCACTAAACTATTAAAGGAATTGGCCATCTTCAAATCCCAATCCTTCAACTCCTACCTTACTTCCCTCTCTGTTCACGACAATTCTCTATGGAAGATCACCAACAAAATCCTTAAATCCCATCATATTTCCCATCCCCTCCGTCGATGCGATGGCTCCTGGGCAGCGTCTGATGAAGACAAAGCTGAGGGATTCACCAGAAACCTCTCCAGAACATTCACATCACTTCCGGAATCCAACCCCACCCATACCATAATAGTAGAAGAATTCCTTACGTCACCCATTCCACTTCCCTTACCCTCTAAAGCAATTAATCCTTCTGAGGTCAAACATCACTTACAAAAACTTCCTTTCCGTAAATCTTCTGGATACGACCTCCTTGCCTCTCAAATTCTTCGACAACTTCCTCCTAAAGCTGTTATATTTCTCACTTATTTATATAATACCATCCTTAGAACAACCCATTTCCCTCTTTTGTTGAAACATTCCACTATTATCCTG